AGTGAGGAAGAAATGGGACACTGCAAATGGAAAGCACAAAGCAAGTATCCCATATATGTCCGCTGCTATTATCTCAAAATACCAGTGGTTCTCACCATTCCCTGATCAGAGGTCCCATTAAGAACCTAGAAACTGGGCCAGGCGTGGTGGCTCACGCCTGTAATCCTAGCACTCTAGGAGACCGAGGTGGGCGGATTGCTCGAGGTCAGGAGTTCGAAACCAGCCTGAGCAAGAGTGAGACTCCGTCTCTACTATAAATAGAAACAAATTAATTGGCCAACTAATATATATAGAAAAAAAAAAATTACCCGGGCGTGGTGGCACATACCTGTAGTCCCAGCTACTCGGGAGGCTGAGGCAGGAGGATCGCTTGAGCCCAGGAGTTTGAGGTTGCTGTGAGCTAGGCTGATGCCATGGCACTCACTCTAGCCTGGGCAACAAAGTGAGACTCTGTCTCAAAAAAAAAAGAACCTAGAAACTAAGCAGGCACGGTTACACACACCTGTAATCCCAGCTACTCGAAAAGCTGAGGAGGGAGGAGCACTTAGCCCAGGAGTTCAAGAGGAGGCTGGGCGATATAGCAAGATCCTCACCTCTTAAAAAAAAAAAAAAAGAAGAAGAATCTAGAAACTAAACAAATAAAACATTGGGATCCTTTCCCTAGAAAAATGTAATATGCATAGTCACATGACAGGTTGTCACTAATTTTAGGTGGTCCACAGCACCTCTGACACACAAAGGCCGCCAGGTTAACTACAAATTCTTGCTAAGACATCCAAGGATTGCCAGCATCAAAACTAGAACCAGGTATCCTGCCTTCCAACGCAGTCCTCTTTCAACCAAGTCGAGTTGCCAGATTTATAAGCTAAAATTTTATTTAAAGCACCACTCGGCCCTGGATATAATAAACATACTTTTGTACAGTATTTCCTTCATAAACCCTCTTAGGGCAATGTTTTTTGGTTAAGTAGCAAGAGGAGAAGTTATATAAAAAAAAAAAAAAAAAAGGCACAGAAATAGAAACACACATACCTGGGCCACTACAATCCAATCTTTTTAACTGTACTTTACTTCCCATTTACAAATACTCAGAGAGGTTAGCACATGCTAATCTTATAGTCCTAAACTTAAGACCTGTATTTCTGAGGTATAAAACTTCATCCCAAGCCTTAAAACTGCACCTTAATGGAGTCAGGCAAAGATCATCAATAGATGAAACCGTCAAAACAAAGGCTGATGAGGAACATTACAGAGTAGGGTACAGCTGACCCCACATGGCTCAATCACAGTGTTCCCAACAGTGGGTCAACTAGGCTTCCCAAAGTGATATGTCAGGAAGGACACCTGACACTCCAAAATGTGATCTAGACTTCAGTGCTTACTTCCATTTGACAGGGTTTGTGAGGAGAGAGAAACAAGTTAATTGAAATCACTGGGAGGCAAACAGAATGTGGGGCCCTCTTGAACCCAGCCGAGGTGTCTCTTTAACAGGGAAAGGCATGAAACTGGGGAGAGGGCACAGGAATGCGGTAGATTAAAACAGACTTAAGAAATATCACAACAAAATGCAACACGTGAGCCATGTTTGGATTCTGAATCAAACAAACATTTTGTAAACAATCAGGGAGATGGACCCGGTATTAGGTGACACCAAAAGACTATTCATTTTGCTAGTGGGGACACTGGCATGGTGGTTATATAAGAAATTATCAACCAGTCTGATGCACACTGAAGTACGCTGGAATAAAATGACATGAGATCTAGGATTTGCTTCTAAATAGCTCAGCATTAGCAACAACAAAAATGAATGAGTGAAGCAAGTGAAGCAAACCTTTGTCAACCACTGAACCTGGATGTGGGTCACAGGGGTGCTCGGTATAGAGACTCATTATACTGTTCTCTACTTCTGTGTATGTTTGAAAATTTCCATGATTAGAAAATAAAAATAAACCTCTTATCTTTTGAAGTCCTTTAAGAGATAAAACGGAAGCAGAACTGTCTCTTTCCCCTTGATTTACTCATTCATGAGAATGTGTTCTTGATGAAATCTCAGCAATTGGAAAGAACCCAAAAGGGCATCCAGTTCAGGGATTCTCAAAGCTGGCTGCATGTCAGAAACACCCACGAAGCTTATCAGAACTACCAATTTCCCCCAACCCACCTCGGACCTACCCAGTCGGATTCTCCAAGGAGGGCCCCAGAAATGGTAATTATGTTTAAGTGCCACAGGTGATTCTGATGTGGTCTAGTACATTCTCCCTCCAACATCCCAGCCTCACAGGGTATAGTTCCAAGCCCTCAGGGACAAGATCACACAGCATTATGCATTCTCAGTGCTATGTCAAGCCTGGTGCTATTCTTCACTTTCAAAAGAAACAAAAAGTGGAATGGCTAACTCAGTGCATACAACTTGCAGGACATCCATTCTCCCCTTTATCTGATGCAGGTCTCAACAGTACTCAGGTGCATCTAGTCATTGTGTTGAGGCCAACCTCTGTGGGAGCTACCGCCAAATAAAATCCCCTGGGGAAAAAACAAGTTTACCAATAGAGGCAAAGGGGCTTTCACTGGGCAAAGTTCCAGAGGAAATGCCTTCCTTCTACTCAGCTGGCCTTGGGAGAAAACCCCAAGTGACTGGGCCAGGCCCGCAGGGTGGAAGTGTCTGGGCATACCTGAGCATACCAGGGAGTCTGTGCCTCTCACGGCAGCCACCAGCCGGCCCAGGGTCACCCAAGAGGAGAAAAGAGGAGAAACTCATACCACCCCTTGCCTTTGTTCTCACAGCATCATAAACACTGGGGACAAACTCCCAACCACAAAACTGGCTGGCATTTGATCAGAAACATGTCAGTACAGGTCAGGATGGCTAGGAAGCCAGAACCCAACATTTCATAAGATTAACAATCTCAAATCCTTAAGACCATTCCCTTTCGACAGGCGATACCTGTGTTTATCCGGATTGACGACCTTCGTCCCTGGAAAACATGACTCCCAGAATCCAGTGGTGGGGGGCAGCGAGGGGGTAGCACAGCTCCCCCGGTGGGCCTTAGCACACAGCACCCCAACACCCACTTGTCACCCCCTAAGGCTGGCTGATGAATAACCCTCCCAAGTCTTGCTGCACCTTTAGAGTTGGTCTTGTCTAACATTTCAGGGTGTGCGTTTGCTAAATTACTTCTAAGTGCACCGGCATCATGTCAAACACCGAGACTCAGGCATGTGGCAACTTGCAGGCTCCATTCACGCCAAACCAAATGCCCTGTTTGTTGCTTTATCGGTGACAAGTGGCTTTAGGGGACCTGAACAGCACTTTCTTCTGCACAGTCTACGTCTGCAATTGCCTTCTAAGACCTTCCCTTTCTGGCCACAAGGACCCACCTGTACAGAAGCTTTTAATACCACAGACTCGGGTCTTTACTGGCAAGAAACGAATCTCCTCCAAGCCCAAAGAATGATCTTAAAGCTGTCAACTGAGCCAAGTACAGAGGCTGGTCTGCAAATGCAGAAACTGAAATGTGGAGGGAAGGAGAAAGGGTAGTACGGGGACAACAGAGAACTTCATGGAACTCCCCCTTCTTGATTAAAAGCGGCACATTTTGATTGTCATAGCTACTAAAAAGTAAGGACTTGGGGAAGGAGAGGCCCAGAAACTTATGAATATCCACATTTGCACACTTGATCCAGGCAGCATCTGCACCAGAGATCAAAGTCAAGCTCCTGAGTCCGCTTCCCAGGCACCACCCTGCCCCAAACCCCACATCCCCGCCCCTTATCTCAACATAAGTGGTCAGGGAACAGCATTGCTGACAAGTACGTCCAGTTCGAGCAAGGAGAAACATAGCTGCACCACCGCCTCACTGCCCGTTCTTCCAGCCAATGGCAAGTCGAATATTCCTAGGCTCAAGATTCTACTTGAAACAGAAACACGTTTCTGGGGAGAAAGAAATTAAAGGCCCCAACCCTGCACGGCCTCTGACCTCACAGGACGGTGGTCCTGCACCCAAACCTGAACTTCCAAAAGAGTTTAAAACAGAACTCCAGCTGCACACGGCAGCACTATTCATAAGAAAAACAAACCTGGAAAACACAGGCACATGAAATCTTTGTGGAGGGAACATTTTTTGGCAATTTCAACCGTGATTGCACAACTTATCAGGACGAAAAGTCAGATCACAATTTTGTTTTCCACCCCTCACAGTCCACCGACCCTGTTCTACTGTACGGATTATAATGCCTTAAAAGAAAGGTAAAGCAAATTATTAAAACTGTCTTCTTTTAGTCAACCTTGACATATGAACTAAGGCTTTAGAGTCAAAATCCAACATTTTTAAAGCCAGTCTCCAATGGAAACCTTACCCAGAGCCAATTTTTCATAGGCAAGGAGTTCCAAAGTTGTCAAACACTTACATAGCCACACCAGGTTTCATGAGAGTCACTGGGGCAACTCATGTCTATGTGGTCCTGGAGTATATATATATGCTTCCCAATGGCCATTACTGTCCATTTATTCCAGAACACTGGAGAAGTTGCCTTTCTTGAATTTCTCCAAGTTAATTATGAGAAAGAAAAGAAATGCCATTTTTCTCTAGCCCTTTGTGGCAATTTTCCTCAAATATACAAATATATATAAATACACACACACACACACACCCCTCATGGTTAATGGCTGCCCTTGAAATGCAGACCTTTGTTTGAACTCTAAAACCAAAGTGGTCCCCCCCACATTGAGGGATGTTACACTAGGAACAATGGAGTTCATTGGTTTGTTCCGCAAACCACCATCATGTGATTAGGGAACTATCAGTGGGAAATCCTCAAATAGTACAAACACTAAAAATAGTACATAACCCTTAGGAAAAGGAAGTTCTTTACAACTATCTAAACGAATTAAACAAAATAAAATCCATTTACAACTGCTACTTCAGTATGGAAAATAGAAATCCATTTTTTAATGGTAAAAAATTTTAAAACAAACTTGAGTTCCAGACACAGTGGCTTACCTGACTCCTCTCTTTGTCCACTTTCTTAAAACACTTATTCAGTGACAAATTATGTCTCACTGAGTTTTTCCACCCAGTAGGTGCATTTGCAAAATATGGAAAATGTTCCAAGATCCAGTTGTAGATATCCTTTACTGGCAGACGCTTGCTTGGAGAGTCCTCGATGGCCATAAATATGAGGCAGCTAAAGGAGTATGGGGGTTTGCAGTTGGGGTTCTGCCTGGCATCATAGGGCATGTCAGAGTGGGCAGGGGACGGGGGGGTGTCATCGTCCAGGTCCTGGACGGGGCTGACACTCCTGAGGACCGACTCCCCAAAGCTCTTCAGCAAGTTCTTGCTCTCGTGCAGCCAGTTCAGGTTGGTCAGCTCTTCATCTTCCATGGCCCCCTCTTCTAGTCTGATGTCAGGCAGAGAAAAGTCGAGGTCATCGTCTTCCTGAAGGGCCTTGGAGAAACTGCTGCCCCGGTAACACTGACTCAGTCCACTGGAGACACTGATTCCTGAGCTTTCTGGCTTCTTACTGGGAGGCATGACTGGACCCATTTACGTGAAGGCTCCTAGTAAAGACATCACAAAGAAATTGATCAGCTGGTGCACCCCAAAGCAGAAAGGCAGCTTCTGCCCCCTTAATTCTCTTGCCTCCCCCTGACACCTCTACAGACCCCCTGCTACATAGGAAATGCCACCAGATGACTCCCACACTGAGCAACACAAGCCCACAATGCTACTACATACAGATACGCTAATAAGAAAAATCAGTCTGCTATTCATACAGCAAGGTGACCTGATGCCCCTTAAATAAAACAAGACTGAAAATATTTACAGCACCTTTAATGTGCAAATACATCATTAAAAGAATGGGAAACTTCACAATGCCTCCTTCCTAGACCTGTAAAGATTCTCATTGTGATCCTGAGAAAAATCAGTTGTTTCTTGATGCCTCAGTTTCTCTATATGAATACACATGTAAAATTCTTTCAAGCTTTTTCATAAACACTACAAAATAAGCACAATGCAGAACTCACATCACTTTGTATTACTTGTCTCATTGTTTATCCTTCTCAAAAAAAAACCCCAAATACCTGTAGGTTTACAGTCACTTGTTTCACATTAAATTCAGCTGTTTCCATATCAACACCATCACGAGGACCTCAGCGTGAGTGGCCCCAGTGAGCGTCAACCAATTTGGTTATAATATTTTAGTTGATTTTTTTCCCATAAAAATCATGACCCCAAACTGTGCAACTTTAATTCCACTTGGCAATTCTAAAGAGCAATGACAATGAATCCCGTGGATTCAAACTGGAGGAAGAAGTATGTTAAATATGACTGTGACACTATATCCAGAAAGAAAAAGCAAGTAACTTCAGGCACCGCACAAGTAAATGAGAATACAAGATAAGCCATTAACTATGATCATAATTGGTGAAAAGAGACAAGAGAGCAACAGCCAGCTTCAAGGCGGGAAGACAAATTCAACAAAAATTGCCACGAAATGTTATCCCCCCCCCTCCCACTACCATCTTCATTTTTATCAATGACCTAGAACATGGAGTAAAATAATATCTGGTGAGGAAAGGAGGAGGTGTCAAGTCCACAAACAGAATGTCCCCTTACAGATACAAAGCATGTTCAACTCTCCAGCACACAACGTAAGACAGAACAGTAAAGATAAGGAAAAGGGTCTCCCACTCTCCATTTGCAGTGCTAAAACAATGTGCTCGGTTTAAGTGTGTCTAGTTTTAATCCCCACCTCCTAGCCCCAGTAAAAAAGACCAACCAAACTACCTAGAAAAATGAATGAACATATCAAAAGCAAAGACCTGAACTTTCTAAGTCTCTTAATGTGTCCATTAACACTATATGTAAAACAACCACCACTGCAGCTGGGGAAGCTCTAGAATGGGATTCTAGAAAGCATAGTGCGGGGCCCTAAATAGCCAGCCAAGAGTACCAGTCACTGCAGCACTTTCCCTCTTCCAAACGGCAACAGATAGAACCTGCTGGACTCAAGGCCTGAAGGGAACCTCTCTGGAGCTCCCGTGAGATGCCCAGCCATAAGGAGGGAAAACTTCATGGGGCATCACAGTCCAACCCAGGCAGGACAGTCTCCACGCCTCGGGTTCATGCACAGGGAATATTTCTTTCTGTCCCGTGAGGAAGCTACCCCTGAGTAGTATATGACACGTTTTCAAGAAAAAATAAGCTAGTGTCTTTAAGTACGGGGACATAACCGAATACAGTCTGATACTGCTTTTCACTTCTTTATGAACAAATCAAAGCTGGCTTGTCTCAAAGTTTCCTCCGATCCCATCAGAAAATTGTCTCAGCTACCAGGAGATCCACACGGTAGAGAACACAAAAGAGAACTACCCAGCCACTGAAGTCAACTTTAGCTCCAAATGAAAGTTTTATGTCTCCTGAGCTTCCAAACAGGAAAATTATATCATGGCTGACAGTAAAGTAATTTAATTGCACTGTTGCTATGACAACAGGCTGCTCTCTTTCTTTTTAATTTGCTTATTTGTCAGTAGCTTCCCAAAGGAACTAACACGCTATTCTCCATGTTTTCTTTTGTTTTAAACAAACACTGCGAGCAACATGGTTTTATTGGGAAACCGGCACTGTCCAGAAAAGAGGGTTACGGGGGTTCAGCACCCTTGGCTCCCGCGTCTGCTTTGTGCCCGGGTCCCCCACGCTCTCCGCTAACTGCATCCCGACAAACCCTGCATTTCATGGCAACAGCATGAAGAGCTGCTGATCACTACAGTTCCATTTAAAAAAGCAGTTCCCAGAAACCACAGCTGAGGAGTTTTCCATTATTATACTCGACAGAATCCGCCAAATCTTTTTTCCCTCCTGTTTTTAGAGGGGAAAAAAAGAATCTGCATCATGTGAGCCCGCAGTTAAGCAAACATTTTTAATCTGCTGCCAACAAGGTTGCTCCACCAGAGACGCAAATAGTTATTCACTGGTGACCTCCTTACAACTTCTCGGTTTGTTATTGGTTACGTTCCCTACACACACACACACACACACACACACACACACACACACACACCCTCTTTTTGTTTGTTTTTTTTTATGACTTGCTTTTGTTATTTTTCTTTTTGAACGGAGAAAATGCTGCAGGGAAGCCTAGTCTCAGGTCTCCCAATAACTGACAAAGACAAGACGGGCCCAGCTCCGAACAGATGTTCGATGCGAACTTCGGAAAGTTGAGAAATCCTCCCCAAGCCTAGCAGGGCAGCGGCGAGGCCGGGGGGCCGGGCAGCCCTCCCCCCGCGCGCGCGCGCGCACACGCACGCGCCCCACTCCTGTCTACTGTACTTGTCAAAAACATTTCAAGGGGACCTGCGGGAGCGGCGATTGGCCGCGTCCCGCGTCAATCAGCGGCGTTGCCGGGCAACGGGGAAACTGCTCCTCTCCGCGTAGACAGGGCAATTGGGAGCTCGCATACCTTCACTGCCGGTCAGATGTCATAAACCTTTTATTGGCCGCACCGCGGCGAGCCTTAAAAACAAATCAATAAAAGCCCGCCGTCCCCCGACTTATCCAGGGCCCAGGGAGGGTTTCCGAGAGGGCTGGGGTCAGGCGGGGTCGGGCCTCGGGGGTCTCGGGAGACGTCCCCCGCCGGTGCCAAGTCTGCACAGTTTGGGGGGGGGCGGATCTTTGTTAGGAGCCTGTTCCTCATCTCGGGGTCTCCCCAGATCGGCACCCCTCCCTCGTCCCGGAACGGCGGGGATCCCGTCCCCCGCGGACAATACCAACTCTGTTCCTCCCGGGCGTCTCTTCGGAAACCGAGGCACGGGGGAACAGCCCGCACGTCGGGGCAGGAAACTCTTCGGACCCGCAACTTCCCCGCTCGGGGCCCCGCTGCGCCCACCGGACCCTCCCCCAGGCGCTGCGAGCCCGCGCCGTCCGGGGCGCCAGGCCGTGTCCGGACCGCCTCGGACGAGCCCTCGCCCCGGCCCCTCGGAGCCGGCGGGCGCGGGGCGCAAACTCACCTGGCCGGAGCGGGGCGCGGGGGCGCGGGGGCGCCGCTGCCCTTCAGCAGGAGCCGACAAACTTTCGCGGGCGCCCAGCGGCATCTGCTGTGGGCCCGGCGAGGGACGCGCGGCCGCGGCGCGGCGAGCCCGGAGCGGGCGGGCGGGGGGCGGCCGCGGCGGCGGGCGCAGGGCGGGTCGCGGGCGCGGCATGGGACCTGCGGCGCCGAGCGGGCGCGCCGCGCGTCCTTCCCGCCGCCCGCCGCTCCCCGCCCGTCCCGCTCCCGCTCGCCTCCGCCGCGGCGCGTCGGGCCGGGGCGCGCCGAGCTGCGAGAAATTGTTTCCACTGCAAACAAAAAAAGGCGACACATGACCAGGCAGGAGGAGGGGAAGCGCGGGGAGGGAGGAGAGCGGAGGGGAGGGACGGAGCGGAGGGGGCCGAGGGAGCCGGAGAGAGGGAACGTGGGCCTGGCCGCCGGCGGCCTGCGGCGCCGGCGCGACCCGCTGGGCGGCCCCTGCCGCGCGCCCCGCCCGGCCTGCCCGCGCCCCGAGCCCGGGCGCCCCGGAGGCGCAGCGGGGCCCAGGCCGGCTGCGCTGCACGGACCGCGCCACCGCGGGCAGGGCCGGGCGCGGCCCGGCGAACCCGAGGCGGCCGCGACCAGGGGCGGCGGGGCAGGTGGGGCGGGCGGCGCGTGGCCTGTCCCCTCCCCGGGCTCCGGCCACGCGGGCGGGCCGGCGCTGCGCCGCTGGCGACGTGTCGCGGGAACGCTCTCACCCCATCTGCATGCCTTACATGGCTCGAAAGTAAAAATAAAAAGAATTACGATGCGGGTGAGGCTTGTGAGGGGAGAAAAGGAGATTCCACGTCTCCCCAACTACTGCGTCCTGCCGGGACTCCCAGGGCCGTCCTGCCAACCCCCAGTGCCCACCTCGGCCCAGGTGGCCGCGCGTCTGCCATGGGAGGGAGGGTGGCCATTACAGAGCAAGAGCAACGTCCTGAAGGCCACGCCGCTGGGGCTTCTCCTGTGTGCTGAACGCCGCGGCTGGCCTGGAGCGAAAGCAAGTCTCATCTCCTTCGCAATCTGAGCTCTCTCTCAGGAGGAACCCGACCTGACAGTTCCCAAGCCACCCAGCCAACGCTGCAGCCACCACTCCAGGTCTCCAGGCACCTCCAAAGAACGGGCACCCACTGCTAAAGCCACACCAACCAGCTGCCTTTGGAGAGGAGGAAAGGAGGGAGGCCAACGGGACAAGCTGATGGTGACAAAAATAAAAATCAGATTGCACAACACTCCCAGATAGCCAAATCCGTGGGTTCCTCTACAGAGGAGAGGCCCAGGGCACTCTTCCTGCCACCCCCACCTGAGCCAAAGGACACATCATCGTGGGCTATTTGAACAGGGCAGAAAAACCAGCCAGAAGGCCTGGAGGGAAACCCCTCTAGCATGAAGTATCTTTGAACTTAGTCAAAGAGAGGAGTGAACGGAAACACCATACTGGGGATCCGATCATTTTTTTCTATCTCAAAAAATAAGGACTCGCGGCTACCCGCCACCCACCATCTGAGAGTCATGCCTCTTAACAAAGCTTCAAGATGATGGGTGGCAAGTCTCCAACAAGGACAAGCCCTTCAGACTCACTGGAGACCTTACTGCTTGTATGGCATCTCCTACTCACGAGACAGTGCAGAGGTGGGGGGGGGGTGTAGCCTGAGGTCATCCAGCCCCACCCCTTCTATCACTGAGCACTTGATGGGACCTACCCAAAGTCACTAAGCAAAAGGTACAAGGGCAGAGACAAATTAGATCATATCTGAAGTCTCACGCCAGAGACTGTCAGGGTCAAAACTGGGAATAAAGCCAGGACAAGACAAGCTCAGCATCCTGTGGCTCAGGCTAGTGCAGGTCCAGCCCGTCCAGCAGCCTGGTGCTTACTCTCCACCAGAGGAACCAAGGCCAGAGACCTTTGTCCAAGCCCCTTGCTGGCCTGGAAAGGAAGGAGTCATCCCTTTCCACCTTCCCTTCCGTCACCAGCTCCCAGCCCTCCCAGTTCCCCAGCTACATTCAGACCATAGCTAGAAATCTCTTTAACATTAAGTAGAGGTGGCACATTGTTTTCACCCAGCCCTTTCTTTCCCCCTCAGAGTTCAAAAAGAGGGAATGTGAGCCGAAGGTTATTGCATATGAAATACGTCATTCTTAAAGCTGCAAGGCCTTAGCCTCCAGTGTCTGAACCAGTCATCCTAGGTGAACAAAAATGAAAAGACATAGCAAGCTTTTGCCAGAAGATGCCAGAAGCAGAGGGGCAAGTATGGGAGTATGGTGAGGGAAGTCTGCCTTTAATCAGCTTGCCTTTCTCTGTGTGTGTGTGTGTGTGTGTGTTTTTGGTTTCTTGCATTCTCAGATATATTAAGATATATTTCTTAATTTCTCTGTCCCATTACAGATGAGGCAAGAGATGTAAAAAAGGTGTCACCCTGAAGAGGAAGTGGCAGATCAGCCTGCTCGATATGGTGAGCAGAGTACACGTTTGCCTGTCTGTCCATCTGAAATGGGGGATCCAGACCTTTGCTGAAAGCTCAAGGAGGGCTTAGTGTGGCCTTTTCCACCTTGTTATTCTATAAAACCTCAGCTCTGGGACATGCTCCCCAACATAAGGGTTCAGGGGCAGATTCACTTAGAAACAACCCCATACTCAGTTCCCCTCATGAACTTTCCAAAAGGACCCTTGCATCTCAGACTCTGAAAAGCCTCAAAGACATAAGTTGAACTCTTTAAAGCATGGTCTTGTCCACATTGTTTTACAAACCTATTTGGCAGTGGAATCCTGTGTGTGCCTTAGAACTGATTTGGGGAAACACTTATTAATACTTCCTTCTTGGGGACCTGATGGGACCATTCCACAGCCCCATCTGGGTGTAAGCAGGAGAGCATAGAATATCTGGGAGCCGGAAGGCCTGAATTCTAGGCCCATCAACCCTGCCAGTTCCTCCCTTGGAATGCCCCTCCCTCGGTGTTTTGTGCATTCTTCTGCTAAATGTTTCTCTGATCAGGAACACTGTTAGTTATTAGAGCAACCTGACTATTTGTTTATGGAACAGTGAAGTGTAAAGCCCAGTAATCCCCCTCGAGGCTTGAGTAGGTGAGCAGGTGTAGGTAGGAAGACCAGAGACACTCTCGAAAATAAGGAAAAGTCTGAAGCAGGCCTGGAAATGGTCCCCTGGTCAGGGAGCCTTCAAACAAATGCCAGTAAAGAAGACACATAAGAGGAAAGTAGCATAAGCCAGGCCAGGCAGCAGAGCTGGGCTGCACGGAACTGGGGAGGCATCAGGCAGTTTTTCTTCCCATGTCTCCTTCCCTCTGAGACCACATGTCTATCCCACTTCACTCAATATGTCTGCTCCTCTCTCCCCCCTGCAGGTTGGCTTCCTCTGCTCACTGATAGCCACACATGGCTGCCAGCATCCAGTCCTGAGGCCTTCTGACTTTTAGCACTCACCTCCTTTAGACTGTCTCGAGTCTTCAAATTCTCAGGGAAATAATCGTGACTGGCCCAGCCTGAGTCAAATGACTCCTTGCCTGTCACTACCCACTGCTAACAGCGGAGACAAGGTGAAACATCTGGTACAACAGGCCAGGGGAAGGGAGAGGCGATGATTCCAGAAGGAGGATGTCTAATAAGGTCCGTGCTTAACCTGTGGAAATGGGGAAGGGGTGTTCTGGACCTGAGCTCCTCAACTGGGGATGCCCATCAAAACCACCCAGGAAGCCACACCTAATAATGAATCAGGCCCTCCTAAGTGGTGCCCAGGCAGGTGCATTTCGAGAAAGCACCATGGGGTGATTCTGCTCACAAATTGCGGTTCTAGGTAGGAGAAATGAAGACACAAACAGATTTATCAAATATTGGAAGATGCACTTGTTCACTGAATGAGTATTTACTGAGTGCCTACCAAGTACATGGCATTGTGTTAGGTGCCAGAAAGACAAGGTCCTTGTCCCTAAGAAGCATACATATTAGTGGATAAGAGTATAAGCACTAGATCACAAAACTCCTCAATACCAGAAGTAGTTTATATGCACTAAGTTCAGGGGGCAAAGGTGGCTCACTGGATATTTTTGAGCCCAAAAGATGCACTATCAGAGATACAATTAAAAAGATGAAAGGGATGGTGGATCCAACATGAATTTTGGGAGAGGAAGGCAGAAAATGGAAGACCAAAAGCCAGCACAACTCAGAAATCATTGCAATAATCTATACAAAAGGGAATAAAGACATTTTTAAAAAACGTGTTTTAAAAAATATGGGGAAAATGTTAAAATAGTGGTTCCCTCTGAGTGTTAGCGTTATTGAGTACTTTTTTGCCACTTCCATACTTGTCTGTATCTTCCAAATGTTCTACAATAAACATCCATTACATTTTCAATGTTCTAATGATAGGCGGGAGAGGGTTCCATTGGGGCAGTGGTTTGCAAACTTCAGCGTGCATTAAAATTACCTAAAGGGATTATTTAAATGCAGCTTGCTGGCCCCCACCCCTGGAGTTCCTGGTTCAGGAGGTGTGGGTGGGCCTTGAGAATGTGCTTCTCTAGCAAGTTCCCACATGATGGTTCTGCTGCTGGGCTGGCGACCACACTTTGAGACCCCCTGAATTAGAGAACAGTCAGTGAGGCTGGAAAAAATGAATGCATGAGAGTCTTCAAAGGAAGAACCAAGAGGATTTGTCAAATGATTGAATATGAGAAGAGGGAGAGAGATTATGGTCAAAGATAACGCCTTAATCATGGGTTGACTAAGAGTCTCTGAGATAACGTGTGAGAATGCTGTTTGTAGTAGTAAGAAGGCTCCTCGCTTCCTTCCCTTCTGTGGAGAAGAGAGAGCCCCTCAGCCGAAAGACCCTTAACCTGTTGGTGAATTTAAAGGCTTGGTTGAGCATCATGGGAGCATTCTGGTCATCTCTTGGAGCGTTCCTCCTGTGCGTTCTTGGTGTTTACGTGACAGATTCTGAAGGGTGGAGCCTGGGAAAAGGCTTATTAAAATGTCTCCAGCAGGGAAGAGAGCCAGGAGGCTCACTTGAGCGGGGAGGAGGGGTGTGTGGTAATGAAGAGTACAGCTGAACCGGTGGAGTGAAGTTCATTAGCTCAGGTGCCCCAGCCAAACCTGCGCTTGTCAAGCCGCCAACTGGAGGCAAAATGAAAATATAGGACCTGTCAACTCGTCTTCGAGCATAAATACAAGTGTGAGCTGATGATGCAGAATCCAGATTTCAGACAATTCATTCCATCAATGGTATCTATTAAGTATCCAGCTACTCTATGCCCTGTACTGAGTGGAGGGGACCTGGGAAGGAACCAGGGGAAATAAAAAATGAGGCACCTGCCCCCAAGGATGGGAGGAACTGCAAGCATGTATGAAGCAACCACAGATAGACACACAGAGCTTCATACCGAGCCCAGAGGTGGTGGTGCATAGTAGTTAGACACAGACTAGGTTCATACTCTGACTTTACCACTCTTACTAGGCGGGTAACTTTAGTCAAGGCATTTAACTACTTTCTCTCTATCTAATTCCCTCCTCTTAAAAAAAAAAAAATGGAAAGGGAAGGGTAATATAATAATACCCACTTCATAGGACTGTGGTAAAGATTAAATGAATTAATATTTATAAGGAACATAAAATGGTGCTCTGGCACCCAGTAAGTGCCCTTTTTATTAAATAAATAATGAGAATATTGACATATTTGATTACATAACAATTTAAAATGTATGTATAGGCCGGGCGCGGTGGCTCACGCCTGTAATCCTAACACTCTGGGAGGCCGAGGTGGGTGGATTGCTCAAGGTCAGGAGTTCGAAACCAGCCTGAGCAAGAGCGAGACCCTGTCTCTACTATAAATAGAAAGAAATTTACTGGCCAAGTAATATATAGAAAAAAGAAAATTAGCCGGGCATGGTGGCGCATGCCTGTAGTCCCAGCTACTCGGGAGGCTGAGGCAGCAGGATTGCTTGAGCCCAGGAGTTTGAGGTTGCTGTGAGCTAGGCTGACGCCACGGCACTCTAGCCCAGGCAACAAAGTGATACTCTGTCTCAAGAAAAAATAAATAAATAAATAAATAAAATGTCTGTATAATATCAAGGGTCATATAATAAAAAGACAAAAAAAATGAGGAAATATTTGCCATACATGTGAAAAAGGGTTAATATTTTTAATTTGTAACTCTTACAACTCAATGAGGAGAAAACTTCTCATCCCAATAAGAAAAGGATCAAATTCACAAAAAGAGAAACAAAAATGGGACATGCAACCCCAGTCAAAATGAAAGAAACACAAACTAACACAATGGTAATACCTCATTTCATCTGTCAGATCGGCACAGGCTTAAAAGGAATAACCATGCTGATGTTGGTGCAGGTGTCAGTGGGAATGTGGCTTGGTGCAGCTTTGCAAGAGGGCAGTGTGACAAAATGAATTAAAATTTAAGTGAGTATAGCCATCGGTCCTAAATTTCCAATTCTAGGATTTTATCCTAGGGAGATACCATAACAAGACGGTTAACTTCCCCCACCAGACTGCCGACCCCCATCGGCAATTAGCACAGTGAAAGCAGGACTCATGCCTGTTCTACTCAGCAGCGTACACCTGGCATTTATGCCAGTGCCTGCCACACACAGAAGACACTCCATAAGTATGTATCAAGTAAATTAACTGAAGGATGCAACAATGTATTTAGGAAGGTTTTGCTGGGACATTGTTTAAGATCAAGAAAACCTGGCAATTGCTGAAGAGGCTGGAGACATATTGTTACAGTCTGTGGGGACAACATTCCCATGTTTCTTTTGTTGGCTTCTGTTTGCATTTTCCAGCGGTTTTAAGTGAAACTTTCCCTCTTCTGAATCATTTTCACATTCTCATAGACTGTATGTGTGAAACAATTTGCAAACACTTCATAAAGTAAGAGTTTAGGGGAAAATAAATATGTTGGCAAAAGTTCTCACCAAATTAAAGTATTTTGTAATATTTCCAATCAGGAGGGATAAAATGATCCCCCTCTGAAAAGGCTAGTACTCTGAACAAACAGGAGCACGGCTAAGTATAACAAACATCACATCCCACGTTTTGAGGCCTGTTGTCTGGCGGTGGGAAGCCTTTTGGGTCATAGGTTTGGAATAACAAACTTTCTCTACAAACTCTTATGTAGGCTCCAAGAGTCAAGAATTCAAAATACCATCGAATTAAGCATTTGTGGGGGAAGGGGAATATTTGCTGTGTATTTCCAAGATTGATCTTCTGTAACAATTTATGCTTATAAGAAACCAAATGTGGTTACAACTTTTTCTTTTCTCTAGATCTTGTAGAAAATCTGTGCCCAGCTGAGGCTTTTCCTGCCCGCCCCCTCCCCACCCCCCATACTCCCTATAGTAGGGAGCTTGTCCAAGAGGAGGCTGCCTCTCTGAGTTCTTGGACTCCATTTATGCACAGTTGATTCTTGTTATTCATGGTAGTTATGTTCTGTGATGTACCACAAACACTCAATTAGCAAATCCTGAACCACTGCTCCTAGGAAAAATACAGGGTTAGGTTCCTGCCAGCCTCTAGTCACATTTTCATCAACCAATCAATACATAATTTTATTGACACATTATTTTATCTGTGTTTTCATTTAAAGCAGCCTTATTGAATATATATTGTTGATTCATTAACAATGAACTCACGGCCAACAGCGTTATGATTCATGCTTAAATGAAGCATATCTAACACACAGATTTTCTCTATAAGGAACATCAAGACGTCTTGTGCTTAGGAATACTAGATAGCACTTCAGCATGGTGCTTCGGCACCATTTTAAACAGCAAAATCAACAGAAAAAAGCACAAAAATGCAAAAATTATGGCACTAAATAGATCATGATTTAAACGACTCGTGTTTACATATGAGAGCTGAAACACGATGGCAGAACGTCTCTTTGTTCAATCTCAGCTGGGAAAGTGCACGTTGGGTGACTCATCTGCGCATGTGTCCACAAATGACCACAAAAGCACCAGCAGTATTGATTTGGGGATGACAGGTAAATTTCAGCAAGCAGATGAATTACCAAATACAAAATCTACCAATAATGAGAATTGACTGTATTTAGCCAATACTTCTATAGCATTTAACACAGTTCTAAAACTCTGAAAATATTCACTCATTTCGGTGTCACATTGAGCATGTGAGGTAGGTGCCATTATTCCCATTTTATAAAAATGAGGAACCTGAGGCACAGAGAGGTTTGGCTACCTGCCTAAGGTCACACAGATGGTAAGTGATGGGGCTGGGATTTGAACCCACACAGTCCACAGAATTTGGAGCCATGTTCCAGGTAGGAAGCAGGGAAAACTTCAAATCAAATCCAGAACATTCAGCTTCTTTTTAGAGAACCCCTTTGGGGTCAAGGGCTGTGAAGGATAAGAGCAGGAGGGCTCAAGGGAAAAAAAAAAATGTGTGACCAGAAAATAGAGGAGGAGGAGGAAGGAAAAGGGGACTTTGTAAACGCAATGAAAAGGCACGACTTGCAAAAGGCCAAAGTTCAGCTTCTATTTCATAATCAATACAGTCTGGTGTATCTTTGTAATAAAAAATAAATCAGCTAGATACTGAACGGCAAACAGACTGTAAGTGCCTTGAGAGGCAGGGCCTTGTCATATACTCCTGCTCACAGCATGTGGCACAGTGGTAATCAAAAATATTGATTGCTCAATGGGAAAAAAATGCTCCTTTTTGTCCCTCTCTCAAGCTGGTATCTCCTAACTCTACAGATTAGTCGAAGAAAAGTAGCGCCATCAACATTTTCTTCCTCCAGAGTTTTTAAGAGATTTTATTGTTTTCCTCTCTTCAGTGAGTACACCAAGTACCACAGTCTCATGGGTTTCGGTGGCTGAGTCTGCCAAAGTCCTCCCCATGCCAAGAAATAACTTCCCTCATTTTACTTTTTCAGAGAGATGTGAAAGAAAACAATCGATTCTTCTATTATGGTCTTTTTAAAACAAAGTAAAAGCTCCAAATTTGGTGGACTCCGTGGGAAACAGTACACAGATTATAATATTACCAACGCCCCCATGATATGCTGGAAAAAATTAAATATATATATATACATATGTGTTACCAACATACTTCCCTGCCATACAAAATTCTTTTTTGGAGATTAGCAACTTATTCCAACTATTGCCAAACTTGAGGTCTCTTCCCCATTGGATAGTGAAGTCCACCGACACTCTTCTGCTTTGAAACTGCCACTCCTTCCTAAAATAGTCTATCTGGTGCCTTTGGTATTGAAATTCAGGTGCAAGCAAAACATGCCCCTAGAGCGTGAGGCATGACTGCACTCGAGTGCTCCTTCGCACAGGAGTGGGGGCTGGAAAGGAAGTAGCCGAATGAGTTGCTAAAGCT